TGTGTGTGTGTGTGTGTGTGTGTGTGTGTGTGTGTGTGTGTGTGTGTGTGTGTGAGCGGATAAACAAAGTACCAAATATGTATTGTCTCGCCTTTACCGGATCGTTTTCCCGTTATTTGCGTTATTGTGTAGAGAATGAAATAAGCCTACTAACGAGATGTAGTCATCATGGCATCATTCTGCCACATATTTTTCAAAAGCATACCTTATTGCTTGATTTCCATTATGAACGAAAATAATTTAACCCTGTATATGTCACCAGTTTGTGGTGTACTGCTCCCTTTTGACGAATTTAAATTCCATGCATAATTATGATGACATTCTTGTCTAGTTGAGTACATATACCCAGCTCTTGAGTTATCGGGTTGTTTTTTGTTTGTTTTTGTTTTATTTATTTATTTGTTTCTGTTTTGTTCCTTTTATCTTGTTACTTGAAAGTGCGATGACTGTGAATATTGCTCTTTTAGCCTACTCGCCGCATTTTCTTCTTCTTTCTCTTCTGTACAAATTCAAAATTATCCTCATACTTTATTATCTGTCATTATGTGAAAGAACTCAACACCAAATCACGTAGTTTGGTGTGAGAAACAAGCATTGTACCTCTAGACTACTTTGTAATATATGTATATTATGTTATTATGTGCTCAAGAAATAAGTGAAATATACAAAGGGGAATGGAAAGAAGGAAAGAAAGGAAGGACGAAAGGAAGAAAGAAAGAAGAATTGAGTCTTATAGACCCAGAAAATACGAGAGAGAGAGAGAGAGAGAGAGAGAGAGAGAGAGAGAGAGAGAGAGAGAGAGAGAGAGAGAGAGAGAGAGAGAGAGGTCACCTTATCAGGAGATGATAAATAATACTTCCTTCCATTCTCAGAATCGAACTCGTGTAGCCTGAACAACGGTGGCTGCAAGTTCTTGTGCTTACCTTCACCCAATGGAGGTCGTACCTGCGCATGCCCAGACGGTGTTGATCCCCGGATATGCCAGAACTAGAAGCTTCCGGGCTTCGGTGTGCAGCTGATTGATAATATGCTCATTCATTATTAATGTTATTATTTTTTCTGTTTCAGGAACTGTTATATTGTTTGGTGAACTCAGATCTTGACTATGTCTACCACATCAGTATTTAGAGCTAGGTACTCTTGTAAAATATTAACGCCATCATATTTTAAGTCAAATGTGAAGCTTCAGATTAATAGTGGCTCATCTGTGACAGAACGTACCTAAAGGAATTTTAGAGAGCTTTCTAGTCTATTTATGTTCGGTGTAAAGTTGTCTTTTCCCTCACATGCTAGCTGGCGAGAGTAAGAGTTAGCACTGTACATTACGAGCTCTGTCAAAGTTTTCATGAGGAATAAAAGGTCGTTTCCGACATTAAATTCTCGGAAATGAACAACTCATCCTTCAGTTGGTAAGCTCAACTGAATATAGTGTAAATATCGATATAGCTAATAAAGAACAATTGTTCGTTCTGGGAGTCCTTCAGACACCTCAACGTGTTCATAACCGATATTTGCAATAAATCAAATTCTGTTCGCTTTTCCTCCGCCTTTTCTGGACACATGCTTTTAAAAAAGTAAAGACCGTATCTGCACACAGTGAAAGAAAATGGTTTCATCATTTAGATATATACATACACGTACTCGTCGACAGGTGAATGTTCACCCAAAAACACACACACACACACACACACACACACACACACACACACACACACACACATACACACACACACAATTGAATCTGAGACAATTTTAAATCGTTAGTGATAGTAGCTCTTAGTCTGAAAATATCCACAGAGAAAATCACCTAGATTTGAAATCCCAGTGATACATAATACTCAGTATATTATCTAGATTAACCGCTGAGGGTGCAGGAGATCACCATGGTACTCAAAATATCCACTATAACTCTCATTGCCAATTATACATCTACGAAAGCCCACTTCAATTCTGATTATGTTGAAAACGAATCGAATGACAATCATAATAAATCGAAATAAGTTCCTTCACTGTTACGACTATAGTCATTATCGTGAATGCATATAAATATCTACAATGTATACTTGCAAAGTTGTCTTGCCGTTTTCGTTGTTCAGACAACGAGACAACGCTTACTTGTAACGGCGTTATTTATACTACGTACGCTGCAGCAATAATCGTCAATGTGTCTTAACTTGGCTTTCAGTATTGTATTGTTTGTATGGCCGTGCTTTTCTTTTTCCGTTCTTGTGAAAACTAGTAGTTTTCGTTTTACGTTGGGTGTGACTTTTGTAAATTCAGAATGTTGGCACACAGCTTCTGTCTAACGTAATGTTCAATAAACGATTGATACACAAACAAACAAAATCCGGGGTTGTTCTGACTCTTATTATTTCACTGATTTGCCTTCAACATTATATTAAAATTTGGCTTTGTGTCTTTTTTTTCAAATTGAACTTCACCGATCGAAGTGCAACCGAAGTCTATAGTGTAGCGATCAGGCGCTTCGATGTCGCACGCAGTAGACTTGATTTCGATTCCCGAGTGGCGAGAACATTAAAAAAAAATCATAAGTGTCTTGGTCTTTCTGCTCGGACGTTGCATTCCTCTGGAGCCCAGGACGGCATGATTCGAAGCCTGCCTCCTAAATGATCTAAATTGTGTCGATGGGGTGTGAAAGCACCTATTTAAAAAAGAAAAGGCGCAGAATCAAAAACATAATAATAATTATTATTATATGATATGTATGTATTGTTCCAGAAATATGACAATACAAGGAGCAGCAAGTCAACATGTCACCTGTTCCTGTTCTAGTAAGGGATTTCCCAACCAAGTATTCGCCTTTAAGTACTGGCCAGACTCCCCAACCTTTTGACACCGATACTGATCTGGGTCTCTCGCTTTAAAAAAAAAATCGAAGTAATATTTGTTTGCCTAACTGTCCAATCCAAGATTTGTCCTCAGTTTGACAAGACTGTTATGGGTTTCTTTGTCGGTTGTGCTTCATTTCACTCATTCTGTGCTTATTGTATTCTTCTGTGTTTTCCCCATAATTACCCCCCCCCCCCTCCCATCATCGGGAGTTGTTTGGTTCTACACTCCTGTAGCTATTATTTTAATTGTGCTGACTGCTCAAAAACTGAACGAACCCTTACAAAAAATCTTAATAGATCTGTACGCTGTCCCTCTACACCTCCTCTCTTCTCTCGGCTACGTCCATTTTGCTTTACAGGTTACGCACAACTTAACTTAATGTTTTCTATTCTGAGTTTCCTTTTAACATGGTGGCCCCTAATCCAGTCCAAAATTTTATTTTTTATTTAACGGAAATCTGGTACTTGTTGCGAACCTGGCCTCAGACTCATGCACTGAGGATACTCCCACCAGATCGTGGAACTGATACTGAAGAGTTCTGATTCTTGATACCCCGAAAAAGAGTAGGACCATAAACTGAAAAACACTCTATTTTCATACTAGCTTGATTCAAACGAAAAACCAGGGCCTCCTAAAATCACACAATACTTACGCTTGTAAAAGCCATGAAAGAGACTGTAGAGGCAGAGGATATGATGTACAATAACTTTTTTTTGTTTGTTGGTGGTGGGGCTTTTTGGGGAG